GGCCTCCCACACAAAAATAGGAATCATGTCTACCAAGAAATTATTTCAATCAAAAAAATTATATACGAGAAAAAAAATGTAGAAGATAATTATGTTTGCAACTTAGACTTTAACATGGAAAACACCTCAAAGAAAAAAGAACCCAAACGACTGCCCATTCCTAAGGCGGCAGACCCATTCGTCCGTCTCAATTTGCATGTTTTCTAAGCCAAAACAAGAATTTGTTTTTGGTCCACTTTAGAATTTAAAAAGTTTCCTGGATGGGAAGCAAAACGTCTTTAAACTTGGAAACCAAGTCCAGTGGATTGTTTTTTTAAGAAACTTTTTTGGAACCTCAGTTCAAATTTCACAGAAATTAAAGAAAAAGGAAACTAGTAGCCGCTGCTACAATAAGAAATGCCTTTAAAATATTTCATTTGCATTTGATAAAGTGTCACTGCCTATCCCTGGAATGCCACAAAATCTTTTTGTGGAAATGAATGAGTTTTAAAGGAATAGTCCAGTCATATTCAGAATTCAAACTTCTGAAATTACTCTATATATGAAATTATTACATACTGTTCGATAAATGATAAGTGTTTTTAATTAGGAGTAATTTCATTTGAATGTGTTTTACTGGAGACATCCATGTTTGTCAAAGAATGCTACTGCCACCCACAGGTTTGTGACGTTATGGTGCAGTATCGGCTGTTGAGCAAGTCTCAGTGCTCTATCTGGTGTTTGTCACTACGCGCTATTATCCAAGTCATCGTGAAAACATTCTTCTTCAAAATGTTTCTCTGGCACAGAAGTTCGATGGCAAATCCTCCCTCTTCAAGTTGGCAATCCAACGATGAACCCGTCCTTGCAGGATCAAGGATCGTAAATGTTAAATAACAAAAAAAATGTTCACTTTACCCGACGTGTTACAACACTCAACTGCCATGCACGTGGGCATTGACAGTTTAACTATGGCTCTCGTGAATTTGGTGAATCTTAAATAATTGTTGTTGATTGCAGGCGTGTCCAGTAGTTCCTGTTGATTTTGCTTGTAAAGCAGGTAGAATGGCGCTCGGCTTATTGCACCGTGACGTCACTGCTGGAAGATGTCAGGGGTGAGGTTTTACTATATTTGGGAAAAAATGGCCGGTCCCGGACTCAGTGATCGCAACAAAAATTATTTTTTTACTGATTTATGTGAAATTAATTTAATCACCACAAATGTATTAGATTTAGGTATAGATAATGATCCACTGATTATTCCTTGCTGACCACACTTTTCCTTTAAAGAAAACAAAAACTGAGCAGATAAAATAAATTGTTCTAAATGCCTATCTGCCCATCTATTTGTTCTGATGGATAGATTTCTTCCCCCCTGAAGATTGTTCTATTTCTCAATCAGCCTGTTTATAGATACAGGCAGTTATGAAGAAATTAAAAAGAAACAAATTTGGATGGTGTCACAATCCTTTTTAACTGCTGGAAAGCTGCCAGTCCTGCTGTGTAACCTTTCCAGGAACCAATTTAATTGCCTTACACATTTTGTGGTTCCTTTTCATTTGTTTTTTTACAGCAGCATGTCAGTGCATTTTGAAACATTTGAAAATAAAATGTTTTTTTTTTGTTTTTTTTCCAGTGATTAGGATATTTTCTAAATTATTTTCTAAATTGTTTTTGTTTCCACCTCATCTTGCTGTTTAGGGAGTTTGCAGGAGGAAGTGATGACCCTGCAGAGAGACACCCTCTTGCTGGAGAGAGAAAAGCTTCAGCTTCAGATCACATATTTAAAAAAGATTCTTGCCTCCAGTTAATGAAAGAAGTAACCACAAGATTAAAAAATATCACGTTTTATGTCTCATAGCTGTCGCTGTCACCGCATCACCAGACAAAGTTTACTATTCTGAAATAGTTCAAATGTTAGGGTCACCAGTGTAGAGTTTGCAAGAAGTTTCTTGTTATTTGTGTGTTCTAAATGACAGATGCCGACACAATGTCCAATTTAAAACACAACTTAATTTTGTCTATATTTCAAACAGCTTTTAGCAGATAATTTTAAATGGCCTTTTTTATGTGTTTTGATCTGTTTAATTGTCTAATTGACGTTCTCTGCTATTGTCAGTACTTCCTGTTTGCAGTGCTTTAGAAACAATGTTAACCTGGCTTCACAGTTTTGCTTTTCAGGGTATATTTGAAATAAAGTCGATTAAACCATATCATTCTCAAACTTTTCCTGACCTCTGGCAAATTTGTAATAATTTGTAATAAACCAAAATTTTTAAATTCTTTTTTTTCATCGCAAATGACACAAGCCTCTCCAAAAAGACAAAAATAAACACAAGGTATTTCATATTTTAAACTTATGTTTAACAAAATATGTAATGTGCCAAAATTATTATGCGTTACAATAATAAATAGACTTCTTTTCCATGACTACATGTTTCTTATAATTGCTGATCAGCTTTATGCGTGCCTTGACTTGTATCATTTCCTATTTATCTTTGGGTGATGAGCTCCAAATCTCTGAGGCTGAAATGACTCTGCCTAGCATAATTTTGTGAAATAATTTCTTCAACTCTTTAACTCTATATATTTTGGTGTGATTTAAAATATAAAAATGTAACATCTATTTCATGCATGACCATATCATCATAATCTTTATGTCATTTAGAAATGTTACTGCTGGCATTACCCACATTTATCATGGTGATCTGGCAGTGGCGTCCACAGAAATCTTTGGGGGCAGGTGCTCAGGGTGAAAAAAGGGCACCTTAAATATCGCATGGAGCAGCCAAACACCGCCTGATGCTGATGTTAAACGGTCTTCCGCAGTCCATAGGTAGAAATGCTGAATAGATTAGATCGATATTTTTTTCACTTTATTTTTTAATTATGGGAAAGAAGAACACAATTGAAGGCCAGGGCACAAAAAAGATAGAAAGGAAGAAAGATGATTTACATGAACTTACCACTCTGAATTAACAGCTGCAGGGAACAGATAGGCTGTGCAACACATTTTCTTTTAGTTTATATGTATTTGCTATCATAAGTCTTTAAATATGTGATGATCTAATTTCTTCAACAGTCTTCTTCTGGAAATGTAGTGAAAAATTTGATGTCTCCATCCCCTGTATCAAGTTTATATGAATAACTAAGACCCTCAGGGTGGATGGCCTTGGTCATAATTGCCTTATTCTTGCAGTCATAAATATCTTCCATAAATATGTCACTTGCTCAAAGTTCGTCAGGCAGTTTTTCAATATACATAGAAATAGAGAAGTCGAATGCAAAGCCCATGATTCCAGAACATCTTTGAGTTTATTTTCTCTTGATTTGAGTGGGTATATATATATCACAATTTACAGATGAACTAAGATCTACAATTATCCATCCCTATCAATTTTCCGTCACGTTTATCCCAAGCAGGGTTGCCGGTGCCTATCGCCAACTTTCTACGGGTAAGAGGTGGATTACACCCTGGACAGGTCAACAGGGCAACACAGAGACAAACAGGACAAACAACCATTCATGCACACACTCACACCTAAGGACAATTTAGAGAAGCCAATGAACCTAACAGTCCAAAAACATGACTCTGGAAGGAAGCCAGAGTACCCAGAGAGAACCCACACATGCTCAGGGAGAACATGCAAACTCCATGCAGAAAGACCCCGGGCCAGGAATTGAACCCAGAACCTTCTTGCTGCAAGGCAGCAGTGCTACCCACTGAGCACCCCACCAGATTAACATTTAAAATATGATATAAACCAACTCTATTATCTTATCTCAAGGGCATGCTATGTAATAATCTAATTTTACAGTTCAAAACTCTTTATTAAAGTTCTTTTTTTCAAATTGTGTTAATTTGGCCTTATATTTGCTTTTATATGAAACGTTTAACAGACAAAAGGTAGCATGTGCTGTGTAGTTGTCATAAAAAGACATGAGTCAAATAGATGTCTATTTGTCTCATGTGTTTTTAGATTTGCCGTAAAAACAGCAAATCAATAATTTAATCAGTGAGATGCTTTTCATTACTTGGATTTTAAACCCTTCCTTGCCGCCTGGTAGAGACCATTAAAGATGTTATGCTATAAACTAACCGGTTGGTGAAGGAGGTAAATACACTTGTTTGGTTACCTGGAAGCTTTAAATTAATAAAATGTATTTTGGGCAAAAGACGAAAAACAAAAAGATTTCAGGAGGGCACTTTTTCTGTCCAGAGATGAAAAGGGCAGGTGCTCTAGCACCACCTAGTGTCTATCTGTGCAATCTTTGGATTCTTTTTTTAGATTCTGTACAATCCTGTAACTAATAAACTAAACTAAACTTGACTCCCTTACCACACCCTGTAGGGGTAAGATTATCCTTGGTCTTAAACGTATTTTTTTTTTTTTTTTTTCTACTGTGGCCTCTGGATATTTAGATTTGACCTAAGCCTTACAAAGATGTAATTCAGATCAATGTAGAGAATTTGTATTGTTGTAAAACCTTTAATTTTCCAACAGACTTTCATAATTTGCAATCAGCATGAAATATTTTGGACATATTCTTTAACAAAAATTAAATTAAAAGTTTTTTTTTGTTTTTGGATACAAGTATGCTGAACTCATATCTACCCAAATGTATATCACTTCTCACGGAGAAGGAACACCAGTACAAACTTCTTTTAAAATGCTAATTGATAATGTTGTAATCATGCTTACTTTTTTTCTCAATGCAATTACATTTAAAAACGACAATACTCGTTGTTTTAGACCAGTTTTTTGCGTCTTTTCGAGACATGTATTTTCCATATGCTGCATTCAGGCTATAGAAGCTGGCTCGAGAATCCCCCTTTCACAGTTATAATTGTACTTTTACAGTTATTAGAAAGATAGAGATAGACATAGAGATAGAGAGCGAGTGGGAGAGAAAACTTTGAATATATATATTTTTAAATTGGAACAGCTTAGCCTGTATTTGTTGTTGTCTCGGGTCTTCAATTTCCTACATTTCTGTGCGTCAATTGAAGTAACCGCTGTGATCACGTGACTGGACATATCGGACCAAAACACAACAGACGGCTGCGGTGGTTTTGTCAACAAACGTATCAAGACGCTGCTAACTTTCTCTTGACCTTCGTGCTCCACCTGCGGCCCCAGCTAACCCACAGCCTCCTGCCGGCAGACAGGCCGTCTCAATGACTTACAGAGGACCGAGAACACCGAGGCGTCCATGGATGTGTACGACTTGTTTAGTAGTTGCAGAAAGGGCGACATTTGTAGAGTCAGGTAACGGAACCTCTGTTGATTTTAAAGGATCGTCTAAAGCCTTCCCATTGATATCTACCCATCATAGCCGTGGGGTAAAACATCCCCCCTGTCCTGTCTCGCATCCTGCCGTTAGTTTTGCTCAGAAGCAGAACCCCGGAAGGCTAGCATGCTAACATTAGCGCTGATAACCCAGCTTCCCAGCTTACGCAACTTTAGTCTACAGGTGTTGCAAAACATATACATTCAACAGCAGTTGACATTCATTCAATTCACATTATTATCTCTGTATTTTGCAACAATATACCACAGTGGTAACAAGCCTGCAGGCTAAATAAGAATTCTGACCCATTTCCAGAGGCGTAGTCAGAAAATGTTTATTAGGGTGGCCAGGCAATAACCACTGAGGGCACCAAAACCTCAGGGTCAATCTACACTCTTCCAACAGGAAAAGTAACAAGCAAAACATCCATATTTTCTAATTAAAGACAAACTATACTTTCCTACAGCCTTTGCTAAGAAATAGATGCTTATATTTAAACATCTGTCTAGATAAAAGGTATAGTGAATAAAATCCTTTCAGGTTTTGAGCTCTGGGGCGAACATCTTTTCCATTGTCTTTACTTACCTACTTTTATCAACAATCATTCTTGATATAATTGATTTTTACAAGTATGAACATCTATATAAATTGATTATTTTATAATTTTTTTATGAAAATAGTTATTTATCTATGATTTCTCTGAAGACTCCTAGATGACTTGCAGAGACACATTATTTTCTATTTATCCCATAAAACACAAAATCTAGTTATGGAAAGAGCAGGACTTATGTACTTATCATATTTGATGTTAGTATTTTAATGTGCATAATTAACCACAGTGTTTTTGTTGTCAATTTTTAATACATGAAAATTTTAAATGTTTTGAATATTCCACTTTAGAGTATTACTGCTGCCACTGTCTGTATTAGAGGGAGAAATAATAGGGATGGCCAATGGCTGGCTAAGAGTGGCCATCATAGACATATATAAAGAGTAGAGCCCGCATCGACTGCTCTCGCCCTTAGGGGCTGACGAGATTTAGGGGCGCCATCTTGGGGCGGTCGACTGCTCTGCTCAGTGTAATGTGTTGACCAGGCACAGAATTAATTTTAGTCAACTATAACTCGCTTAATGTTGAACTAATTTTCACATTGTTTTTTTTTCTGAAAACTTTAAAACTATAGCTATTATACCATTTAAATATTCTTAGTGTGGTTAAAAGTAATATAAAATATTCAGACAGGATGTATGTATGTTGCAAATAACAGCCATTCATAAATGTTAGTAATTTTTTTTTACTACCATATACAAACACACAGTTGTATACAAACATATACACACACATGTATATATATATTTAGTAAGATGGCCGCCATAATTCCTGCGCCGGGACTGTCAATGCGGGGTCTACTCTTTATTAGTATTGCACCGATACCGATACCAGTATCGGACGGGGCCCCGATACTGCCCTAAAATGGTGGTATCGGTATCGGAGAGTACCAATAACTAGGGCACAGATACCATTTTGAGAGCCAAAAGGTAGGCAGCAGCTTGACAAAGCCATGATGGCAATTATTTTACATTATTGTGGTATCGGTATCGGCCGATACTGCACAGTCAGGTATCGGGGCCAAAAAATGGCATCGGCGCAACACTACTCTTTATATATGGAGGCCATGGCCACACCTGGCCCCCCATCTAGCTCCGCCGCTGCCCATTTCCCGTTTCTTGTCATTAAGAAGTAGATGATTGACTGTAGAGTGATGTTGAGTTACTATTTTATTTTTAAAACTCTAATCTAATGCAGTACGATTATGCTAAAATATATTTGAGCATGCCATTATTGTGGTGTCACATGATTAATAGTTACAATAGATATTAATTCATAATTTAGGAATATTTATCAAGTGCAATTTGGAAAAGGCTTCCTTTTCAACAAGTAATAGAAAATCCAGACAAAATGATACAGTTCAGCTGAACAACTGGAACAATAAATATAAAATATGATGCCATTACCAGTTATTGTGTTTTTACAAAAATGTAAAGATATAATACCATATCAGATTAAAACCTGCAATCAGTATCTCTTTGAGATTGCAAAAGTAATTCCCCTGCAAAATAACATTACTGTATTGCAATGTGTATGTGTGTTTTGTGATCTGAGATCAGTTTGTTTTATCCGTAAATAAACCAAAGTCTGTCAGAGGCTAAGCTAACTGTTAATAATCAGAATGTGCTAAATAATCTGATCTTTCTGTCCTCATAAGGTACCTTGTTGAGCAAAGAGATGTGGACCTCAATGTGAGAGATAAATGGGACAGCACGCCTTTGTGAGTATATGATTAGCATACCTTCTGTTTACCACAAACCCTGTACCATGAATGGTCCTAGAAAAAGAGCTGTTCTTCCTTCAGGTATTATGCTTGCCTCTGTGGCCACGAGGAGCTGGTCCAGTACCTGTTGGCTAGTGGTAAAATTGAATTTTCACTGGATAAAGTGAGGCTGTTATAATTAAAGGACGTGTGACGCTGGAGTCTATTTATTTTGATTTCTTTTTTTTTCGTTATTTCTGTTCACCTTTAGGTGCCAAGTGTGAAGCCAACACGTTTGATGGTGAAAGATGTGTGTACGGCTCCCTGAGTGACTCGATCCGACGCCTGCTCAAGGAATACAAGTGTGTCAGCGTCCGTGCCATGCAGCGCAATGACTTCAACTACTTCCTACACATGTAAATGGGAAACCTCTCTGCCATTTATAAGGAAACAAGAGTGTGTTGTTACAGCTTTCCAAGGCAAAACATAGTGTACTAATGTCAATTTTCTGATTAGGTTGTTAGAACAAGGTCACAACAGTGACGTTAAGTTCCTGGTTCATGGACAAATGTTTTCGGCTCACCGATGCGTTCTCAGCGCACGCTCGGAGTATTTCACTGAGATGTTTGAAACAAAATGGAAAGGAAAGAGCCTCATAACCCTCAAACACCCCTTGGTAATTAAAAACAATAAATTTAAATGTAAGTAGAATGAAGTCTACATTAACAGAAACTAAAGCTGTTTTAATTTCAGATCAATCCTGCAGCCTTCGCAGCAATTCTGCAATATTTCTATACTGGTGAGTGTTTTTTTTTTTTGTTTTTTTTTTTTATAAATAACCTTAAAGTAGTAAAATAGAGAAGAGCCCCCCCCCTCCACTGAGCGACACATCCAACATTTTAATTAACAGAGGATCTATAGGAATATCATTTGCAAAAAATGGTGTGAAGTTATTTATTTTTTTCTTCTTCTCCTTGTTTTTTTTTTTTAACAATTTAAAACTTGGAATAACAAACAGTATGAAGAAGAAGATAGTAAATCATGATTTTACTGTATCAAATATTCCATTAATACTAAGGTAATGGAACAGGGACCACTGAAAAAATATGACTGAAAAACAAAACATCAGCTGTTAACAATGTTACAGGACGGATGGATATTGATATAAGTCTGGTGGAGGACTGTAGGCGACTTGCCAAACAGTGCAAGATGGCAGACCTTATTGAAGAGCTGGAGAATAAATGTAAACAGGTCTATGAATTTGGTAAGAACTGAAGATTTATACATATACATTGTGTGGCAGTTTGTCATATAAGTTTATTTATTTTTCTTTAGAGCTTTAATTGATGTTGATCAATTATTTTTTATCCCTTTAATTTTGAAGTGTCCAACAAGCCTGGAACCTGTGTCAAAGTTCTCAGCTTGGAGCCTCACACCTGTCAGCTCCAAGAGGAGATGGCCCAGTTAGCAGACTGTGCTCTGCCCACTGAACTAAGGGTAAGAACCTAGACCTTACCCCGAAATCCCACATACTCCGTTAGCACCCCGTCGCGCTCCGCTCCGTTCCAGGCCGCCTGCACAAAGCAAAGCCTCCGCACGTCCTCCTTGTGAATCTTTGTAATAAGGATAAATAGGATCATACAACTTTGGTTTGTGCTCTACTTCCAAACTCTGCATCTCTTCATCTATGCAATCCTCCTGCGATAAGAAGAAATTTGTGACTGGATTTTATGAAACTTTTAAGCATTTCAGTATAAAATTTAATAATTTTGATCAAGATGAGAAATCTGCTTCCTGTTATGTTGAAGTGCTAATAGTTTGCATCCAATCATTTAATTAAACAGTCTTAGTTTTTGGGAATATATCAGAATTATGCTCTAATTTTTAGTTACCAATATGTTGTTACCGTATTTTAGTTTGACAAACTGGATATTCTCAGGTTTCCTTTCCCCGTTTGGTGCGATTGCAATTGTGGATCCTGACCTGGCCAGCTTCCAAAATAGCTTGGCTCTTTATTTTGATGGTGAAGGACGGATTAGACGTATGTGGACGGTGACATGCGGAGGAGTAGCAGTGGATATAGAGCAGTTCTCATTGATTAACATGACTGTGCAAGTGCTCTGCATGACTTACGTGAGCGGAGCGGAGACAGAGGATGTAGAATCTGGGGGTTATTGTCAGACTTTTAACACTAACCAACTGTTACTACTGAAACTGCTCTCTCTTTGCCCCAGGTTGGATTTGGGGAACTTCCCTTTAACAGAGTTGATCTGTTCCCAACTTATCCTGACATCTGCTTCAGAGTAGAGGGTTTTGATTTCTTATGTCATAAGGTATGAATTACAGAGTCTACAAACAAATTTCACCAAGCTCCAAATTTGTTAATACGAGATTTGTAATGATCTGTTTTCAGGCCTTTTTTTGTGGCCGCAGTGATTATTTTAAGGCATTACTGGAAGACCACTTCAGCGAGGGCCAGCAGCTGCAGTCCCAGCCCAGCACCCCAGTGATAACGTTGCACAATATCGCCCAGGAAGTCTTTATCCACGTCATGTATTACATCTACACTGATGATACAGAGGTCTGTGCACTGCTTCTGTCAGAAGGCTTTTTAAGTGGTTTGAGAAATATTTGTTACAGTTCTGTTTCTGTTAAAAACTAAAATATATAAAAATAATAATATCAGAAAAACAGGAGATAATATGACATGTAATATTCTTTTAAAAATGCTATGTATTAAAGGAAAAAGGATTACTATAACAACCTGAAGTAAACAAGCATGCAAAAGTCAGGACAGGTCTTTAAGTTTGGTAGTTTTAAGCCTACATATACATCAATGAGGAGTGGACAAACCACTGATTATTCAGCACTATTAAATCACAATAAAGAGAGATATTTTTAAAATTCAGTCATTAAAACCTCTTTTTTTTTGTTATCTACTTTTACACTATAATTACAGTTGAGATGTATTTCTATTGTGCAACTGAAAAGAAAAAATGATTTAATTAAATACTGACAAACACAAAACAGGGTTAAATTACAAAGCAATTAGATTTTCTTTGAAGACGTTTTAACAGCTATCCAGGAGTTTTTGTCAATCCCGTTGGCTCGTTCCAGAGCAATCTGTAGTTGGAGTGTTGATGTATTTTAGCATCCAGGAGATCCATCCTCCTCAGCACATTCCAAGTACGGTAGGTGTGAGTCTTTTGTTGTGCATGGGCTCTGTCATGGGATTTGGAAACCACAATCCAGCTTTGGTTTGGGTGTTCTGTCTTTAGGATGAACCAGTTTTTGTTTGAGTGTGTTGTTGGGTTTGAAATTTGCTGGAATTATGCATTTTCACTCTTTTCTCTGAAATTCCGACTTAACAAATTCCCAGTTTGGATAACCTTGTGTGAATTCATGACATGTTTGTGTTCTTTTCATTTCTCATCTGTAATTGAGGGAATATTGTCATCCCGGTAACTCAGAGTTCTGATAACAGAAAGTTTTAAGTTTTGAAGTTTTAATCTGAACCAGTGAGCTCCCCCCTGGCAGGTGTGGGCCTGCATGGCAGTATGCGTGCTGCATGCCAAACTGGTACCTTATTGGCTTATTCCATGGGTTTAGCAGAGCACGCACTACAGTTAGCAATAAAAACTGGATTAGACCTACCCAATATAACCAAGCCAGTTGCTGCAATCGGTGGTATTCCCTATTGACATGATATTGTCATAAAATGACACATTGATGCATTTACTGTCAAATAGTTGACTTCAAAAAATTACATCTCATTAATGTCTTAACTCCAACTACAGATTGCTCTGGTGTGAGCCAAACAAATTAGATTCCTAGAAAGGTGTTGAAACGTCTTCAAAAAAAGTAAAGTGTCCTTCCAAATTAAGCCTTTTTTGCAGTAGCCATGACCAGGGTGACTGAGGATTTACGTAGGTATACTACCAAGATGGCAGTTTAAACAAACAGTTGCTTGTTGGGTTTGTCCACTGGCATTATAAGGTTCCTCATACAACATATATGCTTGTTCTAATAATAGTCAATTTTTCTGTTCTTTATTGCTCGGTATCTGACTGATCCCTTTTCTCACCCAGCTGACGATGGACAGCGTGTTTGATGTTCTGTGTGTGGCTGACATGTACCTGCTGCCGGGGCTGAAACGTCTATGTGGGAAGATTCTAGCCAACTCTATTTGTGAGGAAAATGTCCTGCACATGTGGAAGACGGCAAAGCTTTTTCGTCTGTCTCGGCTTGAGGATCAGTGTACAGAGTTTATGGCAAAGATTATTGAGCGGGTTTGTATCTTTGTCTTTTCACTGACATTTGTGTGACCTGTCATCATACTTCAATAACCTGAGATTTCCAATCTGGTTCTAACTTATGAACGGAACCTGCAAAATGCTTAAACTGCGAAACTTGGACACTGGCTGAAACGCTGGTCAAGATTCTTTGACGCTTTAATGCTCTGGATGCTCGGTGCTCTGATTGATTGTCTGCTCTGCTCTTGAGCTACAAGCCAGAAAGTCCACCTCAAAACACCCTCTGTGCAGTCATAGCATCAGGATTATGCTCCTACTAAAATAAGATCAGCATACCCGATCAGACCAGCATACCCATAGTCAATACCCGTTTATCCCTTTAGTTTATCCCCGTTTATCGGTTTAGTTTTGTACAAAAAATACACTTTAAACTAGTCAACCATTGGCCACCCTACCATTTTTTCCCTCTAATACAGACAGTGGCAGCAGTAATACTGGAATATTCAAAAAAATTAACATGTTCATATATTAACAATTACTTGACAACAGTGTTTGGTGGTAGTCTTTAGAGTTTGGTGTTTTTTTTCCCCCTTGTACATAGCACTCCTTTCTCCCAGCTTTAACTATAGAACTGTGGAGTTCAACCCCTTAAATTTATTTATTTTTCATATGCATGCACCTCTGCAGATAGCAGCTTGCATATATTGTAGGTCTACCAAAAGCTCCTGGATAAGCTTTTCTGATTCTTTGATGCTCTGTATCAAGCTGCAAAAGTTCAGATTTTATGAACTCCAGCGTTGAACGCTGGGACACTCCCATCGTTGGGACACCAGGATGCTCTGACGCTTGGTTGGGCCCCTCCGATAGCTCTGATGAACCCCAGGACCATTTCAAACACTGCTTGAGTCATCCCCACAGATTGTGCATGTAAATCAGATGCTTTGAAGGCCAAAACCCATTCGGTTTGAACGCACCTTTGATTTTCTTTCTAATCTTCAAATTTTTATGAGATATATTGTACCTAATGTAGTTTTGGTCAGTTTTGTATTAAACCCCAATGTGTCTGAAATAGACCTGTTAAAAATAGAAGAGTTGATAATTTTGAAAGCCATTACTTAATTGGTTTTATAGTGATGAATACTTGGAAGTAATATATCCAGGTATGGAATTGTTTAAAGCTGCTACCACCAATTAGGGTGTTGTTTTAGGAAATTCTAATTCCCATGTTTATTTTGCACTTTAAATAATTGTTTTTCCTCAGAACCAGTGTTTGTTTCCTATGACATGCTGTGTTAAAGCTTTAATCGCCTTAAATGAAACAGACAAACCCTCCAAAAAAACAGCTGTAGACCAGTAATTACTGTATTCTTACAAAACATACAATTACAGAGAACCGCAAATGTTTTAGCTCCTTGTTGGAAAGAGTGAGGGACAAGGACAAACTTGAAACAAAGCACACAGGCTAACTGCTAATAAATTAATTCCATGTTTTGTATCCTGATGCCGTTTGCAGGATTTGTCTGATCAGTTTTTCTAAACAGGGCTTGCATTAAGTCTGACTAATATCCTAATGTTTAAGTACTTCATTTTGGTTTAACAAATTATGCAAAACGGTCTATAAACAAGTGTGAATATTTTTTTTAGCAGTGTTTAAAAATAAACTGTCAATATGTGGAGATGATGAAGTGAAGCGTGAAACATTTACTTCCTGTTTTTTATTTCTTATGTTTCATCCGACATAGCATAAGACAGAAATACCCTACGCCACACAAAATACTTATATCTAAGGGTGAATTCTATATTTAATGTTGGGATGGAAAGCCTTAAAAGAGTTTAAAAAAAAAATCTGTGCTGTGTCTAGTCATTCCTGCTCGGTCTGTCCTCCTGATTTACTCCCCTCTACCTGTGAAACTTGTCCTATACAGCTGGTGGAGCAAGCCGAGTTTGCCGAGATGATAAAAGAGGATGCTGCGTCCCTGGAGGAGCGTCAGGAGACAGACTCAGTTCCTCTGGTAGATGACATCCGCTTCCACATCGCCAGCAACGTGCAGACATACAGCGCCATTGAGGAAGCAAATCAGAAGCTGGAGGCGCTGGAGGAGCTGCTTTCTAGCATCAACATTGACTGCTGAGTGGAGTCATCAGGGCCTTTTCTCTGGTGTACAAGTTTTTAAGGTTGACTTTGGAGGGGATCCTTAGTGGGGTGAGAAAAAACAAAAAACATACAGCTTATTATTTAAAGTTTTGTTTTGTTTACAGTATATGGCAAAAATAATTCTAGAGCTGGGACTGCTGTACCTTTTGGGTATTCTGAGATTTTTGTTTGACTTTTTACAAAGAGCATCCCAAACAAGACAAAATGATCTGGAATATTTATTTTCTGTTATAAAATCCTATTATTAACATATTATTATTCCATCACACCTGCATGATATACAGCATCTAGAACTAAAACCTAGTTAAACTGATGTAGTTTACCCTAATTACTGTCATCTGTATCATGTCAAACTTCAGAAAATAGTATTTTAATGCTAAAGAAAGGATATAGAGCACATATTATGCTCTAATTGTCACATTTAAGAAAAATGTGTTTGAAAAAAACAAACATTTCCTCTAGTACTTCAGATAAGACTCTGTTATTCTTTTATTTTAATGTGCTGTGTTTTATTGACAATATTCTGTGGCTCTCCTTCACTGATTGACTTCCTTCTTGTATTTTCACACTTCTCACCCTCTAATCCTCTCATGCACTTTGCTTCCGTTGAAAATGGAAACTCTTTCCAGTAAACCTTTCTTGCCTTATGTGTTTAGCAAATAAACAGAATTAAATTGTGAACAGTGGTGGTTTTTGTCTCTTGCTATACACCTCTTTAATTACAACCAAATCAGCATTACTCATATAGGGTTTATTTGACTTAATGGGTATTTTGTAATGAAAATATATTTTTCTAGACATTTATCTTAAAATACTTGCCAAAGGTTCATACTTATACTTATCAGCATAAGTATCATTCATTTCAAGCTTTTTTATTTAGAAGTTATTTTAGAGTAGAATGAATATAGGATTTGGTTTAAAAACATTCTGACATTTAAATTTATTGTGGCATTTCTTCGCAGAGTCAAAAGGATATCTCAGTTTCAGCTTTTCCTCCATGATCATGTAAACTGACTTGACTGTTAAAATTCAAGGACTAAAATTGCAGCAATATCGTTTAAAACTTTAACACATTTGAATGTTAAAGTTAAGATTAAAGTTAATCCCGAAAAGACAGAAAAAAAAGTGTTTTTAATGGTTCAGACATTTATTTCAGACAGACATTTATTCACAGACTTAGCTCAATCATGTTAAGCATTGTGTACATTTTTCGACCCCTCGGAAAGCAGGTTTTTTTGTAACCTAATGGAAATCTATCCAAATGTAACAAGGGTTTAAATATCTATACTTAAGCCTTTATATAAAATGTGGAGCCTATCTGAATTAGAAAAACTGTACACGTAATACTTATATTTACAATACGCTGTATTGCGCAAAACAATTTCATTCAAAGAAACGGTTAAATATATCATTAAATTGGTGGAAGCAAATGACATTGAAGCAGATAATGGGTGTTTGTAAACCTTTGAACAGCACTGTATCCTTTATTTAACAGTTAACATCGCAGCTGCTTAATTGCTCAATTTTCTTTCAGGACAAATTTACATGAAATCAAAGGTACTTGCAAACTAAAAAAATTATTGCAACAAAATATATAAAGTTTTTTACCCGCTCAAAAATAAAGCATACATTAAATAAATTAATAAAGGAGTCGTTATTTATGCAGGAAAGTGATCTGTTAATCAACATAGATCCAAGATATTAAGACATTTTCTAATCATTTTAAGCTGCCAGGATCAAATTTGTATCATTCTTTAATTCTGGGCACACAAAATCTGTCCAGCGGCTGCAAATGGTCTATCGGCCCATTTTGGATACACCTCACCTCAAACCTAATAATAGCGCACCTTTTCCATTTCAAGAATCTGTGTGTACATGGGTTTTAAATCCATATGTTCTGAGGTATCATGTAATGAGTACCTAATTAATCCTCATTCATTATTATCATGTCGAGCTTTTGAGTATAAACTGCAGATATGTCATATTTTTTTATATGTTCATTATTTATTTCCCAGATATAAATATGTGGAGGACATGGGTAAACAAAAAAAAAAGGAATTTTAGTTTAAGGCTACCAATTTGTTTTCTGCTTTAGAGGTCCCAGCATCAATTAGGCCATGGATATTTTTTTCAGCTTATTAAAAAAAAAAACAAAAAAAAAGGAGAAAAGCCAGATCAAATTTTATATAAAGTAGTTTAATCCGGCATAGGAAGTTCAATAGGCGGCCTTAAGATGGCAGCATATTCTCTTTTATCTCCAAACTCCTGTGCTCTGGTCAGAGTGGTTGTGCTTCAAACTTTACCAACTATTTTTGCAATCAGGCTTGAATTCTTGGAAATATTGTCTCAATTGAGCTGTTTCACAGCTTAAACGTTTATAAGTGTAGTTTATCATAAGGGGTAGCAGTAAATACGTTAAGGTAGGTATTTTCTGTAGCTTAGATCTATTTGCATGCTGTCTTGTGTATTTGCACTAGAATTTGTCACTTGCACCCACTCAGCCTCCATCGGTCTCATTCCCAAGACTCTAGGAGGTAATAACAAAGCTGTACATCAGCTTAATAGAGCCCCCTGTGTTACGAGTTCAAATCACAGCGGTGCAGCAGAGCAGCTGTTAGAACAAATTACGGTGAGGTTAAAAACTGTCGCCATCCTTTAGAAAACAAAACTGCTGGCTTCCAGCCCGGCTTCGCTGAATACTCACAAGTATTAAACAGTCCAATTAGTTTTCACCCAGAGATTCCTTCCCAAATCTTTTACAGTTGTTGCTAAGCCACTAACTTTGTTTTTACTCTTGAATGGGAAGGTCTGACCTATTACATCCTCCTTTACAGAAATAGACACTATGTTTCTTAGATGTTGTTCTGTTTCCATGGTAGTATGTGTTTTGAATTCAAAGTGGAAAGATAGAAAGATTCCACCCACCAAACTTTGGCTGAAAAGACATTAAAAAGACAACATAATTTACGTCCAAACGACGTGTGCATTTGGTTGAAAAGTGAAAGGTGATAAGCCGCAATTTTCAGATTGTTTCAAACAGGTTGAAAACCCGGTTTTCAACGCCTTTTTAGTGTCTATAATTGGACTAAAGTGCAACAACATCAGACCGATCAAACAGAAAATTTTCAAGACTATGACAAGTTTTAGCCTAAAAACCAAGATCTAAATGTCATGTGGTGTTTGGGGGGAAGGGGGCTGATAACAAAAACAACTGAGAGGTATGAAAACTAAAAATTTAAAGCATTGATTTATTTATTTTTCAGGTAAATGTGCTGGGTATGCCCTGCTCCTGAAAAGCAGTGCTAAGTCAATAGTTTCTAACGAACCAGAGTTTAAATATAACACAATGCAGTCAGAAAAGAGATCTCATGTGATAATGTAAGGCTTCAATCCAGTTGCTCGTCAAGGAAACCCATTCCATGAGGCTTTACTGACCGCACTTCAGCTAATCTGTAGGATGCATGCAGATTGTTGGTTGCCCCTGCACATTATGTACCAGTACATTCTCTGAGCCCGCACTGCTCTACATTTCCCAGCACAATGTGGCTGATTTATTTATTGTCATTTTGTATACACAGAGTGTATACAAAAGGGAATTTGGTTTAGTAGAGCTCTCAAGAAATTTCCATTTTTGTGCAGCAGTGATAAAAAGTAGGCAGCAGAGATAAAATGTAAACATGGTGAAAACCTTTCAGTTCTTCTATCCACCTTACTCTGTGCAAAGTACTTTTGTATTCTTTTCCATTTAATTTTACCACAATGTATCTTGGCCTTCTGTCTAATGTGAGAAGTATGATCAGTATTTGGTTAAGATATTACTGTAAGTTGGCAGGAAATCCATAACCATACTCAGTGGATTGACATCGTGGAGGAAATATTAACTATGAAAAGAAAGAATTTCATTTTAAGACTGAAAAAAGCTCAATTCAAAGAAAAATGGGAAAAATGGATAACATAGAAATTAGCCTCTGAAACTGACTGACTTTTTTTATCACGACAACCGGTTGTTGCTTTGCTCCGAGTGTTCATTTCGTTTTGGTTTTGTACCTTGCTGATGCTCAGAGGGCTGAGACCATTTGTCAAAAACAATAAAAATAAAAGTGGGGGGAAAAAAGTAAACACTGAGATTAAATGTAAATACACTGGTATATAATTAACAGTTTCCAACATTCAGCACTTTTTTTTTTTAAACCCGATTTTATTCAACATTTAGCAGTCTAATGGCAATGGAGAAGAAGCTGTCCTGGAATCTGCTGGACCTGCATCGGATGCTTCGAAGTCTCTTCCCAGAGGCCAGCAGGGTAGAGAGGTCTATTAGAGCACTACTAAAAAAAGCCTATTAGGTATTTAGTAACGAGTACAATTTACAGCTAGCCTAACTACACATGTAGCATCCTTTCAAGGTTACTACAATGAAATTCTCCGAGCTTGTGAGAATGACCCATTTTTTCTTGCAAAAACAGGTGCTAGATTTAAGACACACAGTCATTAAAGGGATTTGAATACCTGAATTATATGATTTGGTTGAAACATTTAGCAAAATATTGTATTTCCCACTCAGTTTGAATGTATTACTGCTATCGTTTTGGGTTTTATTTTCTGTATCAAGGCAATGTTGATACGTGTCTCTCTCTCCTGCAAGTTTTATATTGCAATAGCATCCTGCTGATGTGTACATATTTAGGTCCATCAAGTTTTGTTATCAACAATAACGCTGTTTTGATCTCTATATGCCCGGGATGTCCATAACACACTTGCTACATCCTGTACAGCATTCTTTGTACTCTTCCCAGATGTTCCAAATTCAAGCCGTGAGACCACCCTTTCAGCACAGAATATCCTGCTGATAAGTCCATGTGTGAACAGCAGCTGCAAAAATATTTCTGACCAAAGTGTCACATTCTGCTTAGGATCTGCAGCTATTGTAGGTGAAAATTATTATGTGTTAATCATTTAAACTAAATTGTCTCCCTTATATTTAATGTGATTGGTTGCTTTGTTTGAATATTTAAATATTTAACTATCAACCCTCAAAAGAATGCAGCACAATGTCGAATTCACTTTTATAGGGATGGTTGTTTTTAGATGCAACAGTGTTTAAACCAGAGTTATGGTGGTCTGATGATCTTCCTCTTATATCCACGTGGTAAACTACAGTGAACCCAACAAGGAACCCAGCAAAGTTTTATTTCTAAAACACCTTTCAAAATAAAGCACAAAATGCTTTGACAAACAAAATAAATCCAGCAAATGTATAGTTAAGCAAAAGCAGATTAAAAACAACAAGTTTTTAGATTTCCTAGAAGCTAATGAGATTGCTGATGAGAGCAAAGTCTTGGGGCAACAGAAGAAAAAAAGGCCCTATCTCTTTTAGTTTTTAATTTTGCACAGGGCAGAATCTGCAGGTCTTGATCATAGGACCATAAGGCTGTAAAGGTGGCAGTAAAGGGATGTAAAGGTTCAGTGATATAAATCGGTTCCTATCCACACAAGGCTTGCCAAGTCAAAACCAAAACCTTTAAATTTACTCGACGATGACCCGCAAGTAAAAAGAACTGTAAGAAAATGTTCACAGGAAGCTGAAGAAACCCTGCAAGGTTGGTTTTATGCCAAAGACAGTAATGAAATGGGTCAGCCAGATAGAAAGAACTTCTATGCAACAATTGAGTTTGAC